TATCAAAAGTTATTAGAAAGGCACACTTTTGCTTAGAAGGTTCATGAAACCCCCTCTCCTGCCTCTCTCCCTTCAATTCAGAAAATATTCTGCATTTCCCTCTTCCCATCTAAAACGATTCCTTCTTCCATATTCCCACAACATAARACTCCTTTTTTATCTTTAAATTCTAACTGCTTCTAACATTTTTTCAAATTTTTTTTTTTAACGTTTCACAACGGAATCTTTTCTCATTAACAGGTATTTTTAGAACTTATGTGTGAGCACATGCAACATACCTATTCAACATCCCACCACAGGTTATAATTTCCAATAAAGTTGAAGACGTGAAAGATGTTTATAAAACATCTAGGTCAGATCTATTTGAGCCACACATTGGAGACATTTGGGAAGTTTCAAGTGAATTTTACAAAATGCTACCAGATATTTGCCTTTTTATGAAACTTTTGCACAACCATTCTCATGTTTCAGCATTATATTCTGCAGGAATGAAAGCTACAGTTGTTCATACATGCAAATTAAAGAAATATTATAAGCTTTTCTAAGCTTTTCCTTTTTTTAAAAAAAAAAGTTTTTACGGGGGGGGGGAAAAAGTTATTAACTGACCTCACCATCAAATACTAAAAGGAAGAAAACTTTTGATTCATAGGAAAGAAAATTCATACTATCAYAATCTTGACTAGGGGCTTTCTACTTCACTCTTCCTTTACACAACAAAAAAAAGGAAGAGTTAAATCCTTCAAGTCAAGTGTATAGATTAACTTTTTATTTTTTTTCCCTCTTTTCTTCTTCAAGGATTTACTAGTCTGGCTGGAATTATTATTTAAAAGCATTCAAGTTCACCACAGAGGAATAAGCTGATAAAGACTTTTCAGATTTCTCAAGTTCTYACCAACAGCAAAACATCTGCATGGCTACCCTCTCTAAATACTCACAAAAAAATATCAAAAATACCAAGGCTTGATTGAAATAAGCAACTATGGAAAGTCTTCCTTAACAATTTTCTTGCTGAGATAAATGAAAAGAACGTGACAACAACAACAACAACAACCAAAACCAAGCCCACACAGCACCAACCTTGCACTTCGTTCACATTCTCAACTATTTGAATTTAAATAAATGGACTGGAATAAATCATTTTGGTCCTCAAAAATATTCCATACCTGACAACAGTAAAGAATAAGAGACCTCAGTACCCAAGAACTTTRTAACAGCAAACAGATGATTAATGAGCTATATTTACCAAAGGATATTAAAGTTTTTCTTAACTGATAGTTATGTTTTTAGTACAGATTTTTTCTCCTCCAATTCCCATGTCAGTGGCTCTAATAACATATGCAGAAAAAAACATAAAGAGCAATAAAATCTTTGAGAAATAGATGCTGAAAAGGAAACAGTTGCAAAAGATTTCAGGCATCAAAACACTACTGTAAACTTAAAAGCATTAAATGCAGATGACAGGGAAAAGGAGAAGACAGACAGAAGTCAAAACGTCTACGCGGTGAGTTAGGGTTTCTGTTTTGCTTCTATACTTTTCTTCACAGCATTCAGCAAATTCACCTTAACCGGGACACATTATAACTATCCAGTGCACATTCTATGCATAATCCATAAATTTAAGTGGCCTAGAAGCAGTGAATTTAGCATGTATGGCTTGCTGTGTGTGCAAGAGAATATACTGGTCTATCAGCATATGCTATACAACTGTGCTGTATATTTCTAGAAACTAAAATCCTAAAGACATCAGAGACAGTTAACTGCACATATACCAGTGTGCACACWGCCAGAACTCCTGATACTAAAACAGGTCACATGGATTCATGCAGATGTTCTTCTTTTCAATTTTTTTTTTCCCCAATTATAAGAAACCATCAGGCGTGCCACTCTATGCCTCTACATAAATATTTGTATTTATATTTTTAAAAATTMATCATATTTTCTTCCAGTCATTGCTTCCCCACCTTCTCCTACTCTCATTTCCCTTCAACAGCACAATAAATGATTAGAATCCAGTAAATAGACAGATTAGGAGGTATGCAACTCTATTTCTTAAAAGAAGTTGACTTTTCTTATATTTATCTTTCCACTCCTCTTTTTTTTTTTTTTTTTTTTTTTTACCATGCCTTAGCAGTACTTCTCATTCTTTGCTTTGACAAAAGAGGCTCATTATATTGTGTTTTCTGCATCCTGCCAACTGCACTTACTCAAACACACAAAATACTTTTCCTTCCCAGGACAGTTTTTAACCTGTGAAGGCCTGACTCAGTTTTAAGGTSAGAAGCCAATTCTTTAACCAATGGATGTTCTGTCCTCTTCTTCCTCTGCCTTCCAGCATTTCACATTGTTTGAGATTCATCTAGTTGACAGAAAGAAAAATCTATTATCTTTCTCCTTGCAAAACTGAGCACCTTGTATCTGGACAAATCAGAAAGCAATKGACCTCACAAAACTTAAGAAAAGTGTTAACTTTTAAAGGTCACATCCACTTTTAAGAGTAGAGTTTTCTTTTGTTTATTATGAAGATTCAGGGAGTGGGTGAATATGAGCTATATTGGCCCCTCCAAGCAGCTTTTCCATCCTTTCCCTTAAGTGAAAGGGACATTGAGGGTCCATGAAACTTTTCCTTTAGATATTTAATTGTAGTATTATACAAATCAATTCATACAAAATAGGAAAAATGACTATGGGACTAAATCATATGAACAATTCTGAGTGACATTAAAAATAAAAGCTGCTGTGTAGAAAAGAAAAACTAACATTAGAGAACTAGGACTATATACTAGACAATTCTGAGGATATTCAATCAAATCTACTTCATATATATTCTAAGAAGAAAAGAGATTAAGCTGTTAGAGCTTCATTGAAAGTGCAGTGCCACAGGCAATTACTAGAAACCTAGTTCAGAAGATTTCATTACGGAAAGGCAGAGTTAACTGCTTATGAATGTCTTTAAATGTGGTATTTATCTGTTCACAGATTACAGTCTAGTAGATGGAAATTTTTTGTTTTAAAATCTCACTTTGAGTAAAGGTATCTTCACTCCTACCCTAGTCCATGAGGCAAATAGAGTTCAGTAAAACTCTCCAGTAAAAAAAATCACTTTGAGCCATGACTGAAAGGGATGGAAATGCAGAAATACATATAAAAGCTTCCATCTTAAAGTGATGACTTTTACTACAAGTGTAATGTGCAACAGAACAAAGTTATAGCTGTTGAGGGAACCATGCATTTGAATTTCCCAACTTCTTTGAGTTTCAAGTGCAAGCTATAATGTTGTAAAATAGCTGTTAAGAGCAGAAAAAGGGAAAAAAAATAAAAGAAAGAAAAAAAGAAATAGACTCTGGTTATGTCTTTATAACAGAAGTAAAGCATTACTTTCCTCTAAGATTACCTTTTAAAACCTAAGGGCAAGAATCTTAACTATAAACTCAGAATGGTAACTGTAACTGCCCAAATGAGATGATGGTTTTCTCTCATCTCTTTTTTAATACCGAAACTTCTCTGCAGTTGTCCTAACAGGAAGWGCCTATGACTCTGGTGCTCATTGGGATTCACAACCCTTTACAAGCACTCCAAGAACCAGAACAGATTCAAGTTGAAAATAAGAAAAACAGAATTAAGAAAATACTRGAATCACAATTCTGCAAAAATACATTATGAAGTATCTAAGGTTTATCATGATACCAGTTGGAAGCTGGCAAGCATATGGAGCCACTGATACATCATAGCATTTTCAGATTCCTTTTCAACTTAGGAACTGTTGAGGTTACATAGCTGAAAATCCTTTTCAGAGCCTTCATGAATCCATGAATCCTCTGATCAGTCATTACAGAGGTACCTCCTCCTGAACACTTCTGGGATTGATGGTTTAAAATGCTAAGCTATAAAATATGTGTCCATACAAAAAGAAGCACCTGCCATAGGATATCTATTCCTCCCTCAACCACAACCTGCTCCTGTATTTAGAGAGGATACAGCAAAGTGGTAGAGGTCCATAAGGATCATCTCAAAGATCTCCAGCTGGTAAGAGGATAAAGGGCCTAGTTAAGTGCTTTGTGTGAAGAGTTTCACTATGGACAACTCCCAGCAATATGTATGGCAATATGTTTACCTTGTTTAGCTTTTTTTTTTTTTTTTTTTTTTAAATATCCATTAATATATTCTCACCAAGCTTCAGGTAACAAGAAAGCGTATTCATGTGGTGAAGTGGTCTCAGGAAAATTGGAGAGAATTGCCTGTCTGTGTGGAAGCAAAGCTGATCCATGGAAAGTGAACAAGATTTCCAGTGCTCTGACGTTGCTTTCCTAAAAAAACAGAAAAACAAAACACTCTGAAACCAGCATAATACTGATTTAACTTGCAATTAATTGACCAACAAGTACTATAAGGATTGAGTCATACAATAACCTTAAAAGGAAATTTATATAATTATATAAGAATCACCTCTGGGTCACTGCATGTATAATTAAACAAATACATCCTTCCCTTAAACTCCCACCAAGATTCAACCCCCAAATTTTAGTTTAGTATAACAGATATTAATACCCGTGCATAAGTCCTTGCTGAAAGCACAATATTCTGATTTCTAAACTTCTTGAAGAACTCACTGTCATAGTTCTGTTCAGCTGCATGAGGCCCTCCAAGTATTTCCTGAAAAAGAATTAAGATTTTCTTCCAATTAGAAAAGACTTACAAAATAATGAAAAAGATAAAACTCAAGATTTCTTTATTCAAGGGTGACTAAACACGAGGGCTAACATGAAAACATGAACATGAAAAGCATGCCATAATTTTTCCTACTACTTCAGTTTGAAAATTAGACCATTTTTTGGTCAATATGTTCATTTTTATCTTAATTAATACTTAGACAATACCAGATACACAGGGGTGTTCCAAAACCATAGCTTGAAAAGTACAGACTGCAAAGTTGAGATTAAAAAATAAGTAAAATTCATTTTTTACATTGAAAGATATTTCACTTGTTTAAACTTATGGAATGAACAGAAAGTTCACTAGAGAAATCTGAACATTACTTGATCATTAGACTGCCTGTGGAAGGTTCAGAGGAAGTGATCCACATCTGATCTTAAATGATTTATTTTCACTACTCAAAATTATTCCACCATATTAATCTTCCTCTGCTGCTGTGATTTAACATTGCAGACACTTGGTAAATGCCAATGGCTTTTAATRCATATTTTTTAGACACACTTTAAACTGAACACGACTGTTCCTGACCTAGGAAAATTACTGTTGCTGTTTGGCCACCAAAACACACAAGACTTCAAAACAGGCCTCCCCATACACCCAGTTGTGCCTTTCAACACTATAAGTTAGCTACTTGTAACAGTGAAGGGGAGGAAGCGTGGTAGCTAGAACAGAAAACAGTTTCTATTTTCCAAGTGAAACACGAGTATGTTTCAAGATTATAAACATTAATACTACAGTGGGTAATAAAAAACCTGATAACAAAACACTACAGGAATGTCTGTAGAACTGAAAACTCAAAAGAATTTTGGTCAGTTGTCAAGTGTCCTCACCTCATAGGTTTCAAGGCGATCAAGATATGTTAGCAGTTTCAGCCTGCTGCGACAGAGTTCTTTTTGTTCCAGGGTTAGTCTGTTTCAAAACAGTAGTTTTCATATTTACATTGGATATTGTACATAACATGCACATGAAGACAAAACTTACATGTTTTAATGACTACACACACTGGAACATATCAAAAACTATGCAAACTGAGAACTTTCACACAACATAATGGCAAACAATAATTAAACCACCTTGCAACTAGAATTAACACACATGAGAGTAATTAAGCTCTTTCAAAAGTGCAGTTATATTCCTACAAATCCAACGAAATACAGCATGATATATCATTTACTTTGAGAAGTTTACTGATAAAAGCAGTTCTTGACGCTTCCTGGACTCTTTTTCCTTTCTAGTCTCTGCTTCTTCATCTGGTGACAAGAATTCTTCATAGGGGATTTCCATGTCCACCTCTCCTGGTAAGATAAATCTTGAGGGGAAAAAGAAAAAATAAAGAACAAATGTTGACACAACAACAACAAAAATAAATAAATATTCAATAAAACACATTAACACTATTTTCTGTCTTAAAGAATCTAAGTCTGAACTGTTTTAACCAAAAATGATAATTATTCAAGAATTTGGCAGTTAAAAAAACATCAATACAAAGCAAAAGTCAGTAAATCATTTCTCACTCTTTCAGCTCCAGCCCTCTTGCCCCACCAAAACAGCTTAATCTTCTAAATCTTCTAAAAATCTTCTAAACTTCAGAGGTAGCATTGGTAGTAGTAATAATATTACTACTGCACAAGTTTCCAGTATCATGAATTGCACATCAAAGAGCAATTGTCTGCGGTTATGTTTCCCCACRGGCCAGGACAGAAAGATGTAAAACGCGTTTTGTTTTGTTCCTTTTACTATTCTAAAACATAGGAACTCATTAAACAATTAAAAGTTGTTTTGGTATGAGTAGCTGAAGATGCAGCAGATAAATATATTCTCATAGAATGAACACTTCAGAAGTTCTGTTATGGGGATAAAGAACATCGAGAGAAGATGGAAGATATACAGTACAAAGTAAACAGTGATTTTAATTTGGAAAAGGCAAAATGAGAACAATTATGGGAATACTTGAATTAGTCTAATTCAAAGTGTTTTGTTTCTTTCTCTTGCAAAAGCCTTTTAAGATTTTCATTAACAGTCAATTAAAAATCTTCAAATTATTAAAAAACACTTGACAACATTTTTAAGATGAAAAACACAAACAAACAAACGAACACTCTTCCCAAACCTGCCATCATCTTCTCCTCTTCCTATGGCCACAAGAGCCTCCAAGTCTGTGCCTTTCAAGCCATACTGAAGCAACTCCTTAGCAGCTTCCACGTTKTCTGGAACCCTCTCCAAGCACTCATGGAGAACCCATGCTCGCTTCCTGATTTTACTCTGTCCAAGAATAAGAAGATATGCACAAAATTATAGGCTTCAATACTAAGCTACAGAGCTGGTGATGTTAACATTTTCTTGTTTTTCTCTTCCACTGAAAACCAGTCAAATTAATTGATTTGCAACATGAACCAACAGAAGAGATAAGGAAAATACCAGACAAATGCTGGAGTCTGCGACTCAGTTTTAGTAAATGGTCTTCATTTATTTGGTTAATGCAGAGCTAAGTCTGTTTAGAAAGCTCACAAAGGGAAACTCAGTTCCAACAGGAGAAAGATAACAACATCCTAAAGGTAATTAACATTGTGAGAAGACGGCATAGCAATTTAAAGAAAAATAAACTGTCCTTGAAGAGCAGACTTCCCTCAGAGTCTATAAGGCAAAAAAGGACACAGAAATGCCAATTCATTTTGCAGCCTTTCACAAYTGGAACAGAATGTATTACTTCCTTATAAGACCATAATTAGTATCACTTCTGTTTTTTGGGGCTAAAGTTAGTTATTATACACCCACTGCATTCCACAGTAGCATTTATTTTCAGCATCCATTTYCCTATGTGCCTGTGCTATTCTGTGTTAAAGAGAACACACCAAGGTCACAAAATAACCTGAACTCAAGGGTAACAGGTATATAAAATTCTGACATTCAAATAATACTCAACTTAACCCCTCCGCCCCCCACTTCTAACATGAAATGCTATTTCTCTTGATCTGTTGGAAGACTTTACACTATAGCATCACTAGCCTATGCATCTTTAATGATGCTTGTTTGCACTGATCCAACAGATCTATCTTCCAATAAAGAGAAAAAACAAACAAACCAAAAAATTCCACCATTGTACTCCACTCGAAAATTCCAGTTAAATGTAAAGGCCTTTAAATGCCCCATAAAGTTACGGGTATCAACTTCAGCTTGTTAGATAATTTTCTTTAAATTTTTTTTAAAAGTGCATTACATTAATTAATTAGACATTAATACATTTCCAATTATCATTATTCATTTATTATGGAGTTGACTGTTATGGTAGGAGAAATTACCCTAGAAAAAGAACACCTCTATTAGCCAAAATTAGAAAATATAACAAAGGAATGATTTTTATTATCCTACATCATTGCTGGATCAGGCCTTCAGTGAATTTAATAGGACCACTCTCTTCCACAGAGGACAGCTCTCTAAATTGCCACACATTTATGCTGCATGAATTAGAACATGATTCACAATTCAATTTCTGTAATGAAAAAGCAGCTGTTTTCATAAGAAAACCTAGAAGTCAAAAATGACACATACCAAATAATCCTGAATTGAAGCAACGTTAACAGCTGATTTCCTCCACTGTCTTTGATACACAAGATCAGAATCAAGACCATACGTTTGGGCCAAAGCTAGAGCTTCCTCATATTCCTCATTGTCAGTCTAGAAAACAAACATATGAAACTGAAATTCATTTAATTTCTGCATGAAGTAATAGATATAATCCTGGAATTAATTTTATTCATTATATTTGCCAGACATTTCACTGTTTTTAAAGACCCACATAAGTCTATTTCCAATTCTATCCTACCTAGTCATGTTCAGCRTTTCCTCAATGACTTGCAAACACCACCTTATTTGAATTATTATGATGCATTTTTTAGCCAAGGATGCCTCAGATTAGGCACATACCATACTCACAAGACSTCAGAAACAGGCCTCTTTTTAATACAGTAAGAATGATTAAAAACCAGCAGTTCTTTGTAACGCTCCTTATCAGAGCTTTATTACGGAGACTTTAATACTATACTCACTTTCCTCTGGTAAAGTTCTTCTGGGGTTGTAGATCGCAAACTCACAAGGCGGAAGTTCTTTGTAATAGTACGTGGACGTTTTCGTGGAGGAGCAAATCGTTCCATCTCTGTCACAAAGTACAGGCCTTGTTTTAGGTAGCTAAAGTACCTGTCCTTAGCCGAATTTTCATCATCTGAGTCAGAATCATCATCTCCCTCATCTTCATCACCAGGCCTGCTCTCCAACCGTAATCTCTTCGGAACAAGTTTTATCTCACACTACACAGAAAACACAAGATGAGGGTGCCGGGTAGTACATTTCACCTTGAGACCTAACCTTCTAGCACATCAGTCTTAATCAACGACCTTCCTTCTCCTTCAAAACCTTCAATTTTTGACATGCTTAACCCTGACTACATCTATCTTTTTTAGGCTGAAGGCATCACTCCACATCTAATGAAGCAAGTGGAAAGGCTTCTTCTAGTAACCTGCTGTTAGACTACATGTCCTACACCACCTCGACAGGAGATATTTAATCTTAGTACACTGTTACACAGGTTATTTTAGTGTGCAACAGTGATTTTAACTCTTGACAAACAAAAGCAAAATAATCTGTCCAATCTATGCGCAGCTTCAGACTATTCTTCCTTAGGCTGYTACAAGCTAATCATTGACTAAATACAATTTCCAGAATAAAGCTTGCAATAAAATATACCTGTAAGCTTAAGCTGAGATATTCTTATAAATATTTTAAACTTTTAAGACCTATTTCAGGAAAGAATTCTCTTCTCAATTTCAAACAAAATTCCTGCTTAAAATCACTGTTGAAAAAGAGTTCATGAAGGCACAGAAAAAAAAATGAGGGTGGATTCCTCACCTCCAGGCTTAGAAATCCTCCATCGTGAGTCGCAGTGACCTGAGGAGAAGGCTCAAACCACTCGCATGACTTGCCCAACAAGTTTCTTAACGTTTTGACTGAAGATACAGTCAATGCACCAGAGCAGCGAGCCAGGATCATGGAATTTTCTGCCCACCAGTTTACATCTATCAATGGGTAATAAGACTCTTTATCTTAAAAAAAAAAAAAAATTATTATTACATTAGGGAAAAGAAGATTATACCATGAATTGCTTTATTTCCATAAAGCAACGATTAAGCTTAATATATTAAGTATATGTTTTGGTCAATACTTATATGTCAATACTTTCCAGGCCATCCTTGAGTAGATCCTCTTGGAAAAYACAAAGTTGAATAGCTTTTGAGAACAAGTGACAATTACACATAAGGCTCTTGAAAACGTCCACAAAAAGAGGTCAAGAAAATTAAAGCACTTACTAAAATTAATCACCACAAGATAGAAAGAGTCTCATTTCTAAGATTATTTCTAAGATTACATGGCAACATATTTGCCACAAAAAAAAAAATAACCGCACATGTTCAGTGCACTGATTTCCTGCAGTGAGAATCCATTTTCTCCTACTTTTCAMAAAAAAAAAAAAAAAAAAAAAAGCTACTTTTTCCCCATACAGCTCTGTGAAGCAGACTAGTTTATCACTTTTCTGCCACTTCAGTGCTAAGTCAGGAGGCTACACGTGCAGCTCAGTTATCCCAACCCAAGACAGAACCAAGAAAAACAGTAAAAGTTGCACAGATCTTTTAATAATATAGGCACATACAAGCACTAGGAAATGGGTCATGGAATAGTTATTGATTTCTGCACTCTTCAAAGAGCGGTACAGTAACAAGGAKATAAATGGTTAAGTAAATTTTAAAAGAAGAGTGGAAAACTTGACAAGACAAATGGAGTAGAAGACACAAACCTCTTTTGTTTCAGATTTGTAAGTAATCTCTTCAAATGATGTTAACTTTCAAGTTGTATTAGATAATCATGGACAGAAATTATTAATTTAAGTTTAGGTTTAAGACTGGACTCCAAAAATGTTACCTATTACATTATGATGTAATTGCTTCTGATACAAGATAAGATTCTTGCTGAATGTTCAGCATTCTATGGAGTTATAATTTTATGATTAATAATAAATGAACGAAGTCCTGTATCAGCTGAAATACCCCCTCTAATTATGGYTATGATTTCAGAAGTATTCCTAAGAGAGGATCTTAAACATCCTGTTCGGACACTCTTTTAGCTATGTGATGCTATAAACCCAAGCCATATATCCAATTTTGGCAAATGCCCTAATTAAGATTTAGGTAACCATTTCAGATCTTTCAGTATTTGTGTAAATACTTTTAACTGTTAACTTTTTACTTCAATACTGTTAACTTTCAACTACTGATCCAACTTCATTACATACCTTTTATTTTCTTTCTTTTCTCAGCAGAGAGGTTCCAGGCTGGGTTGATCTCATCATAACCTGGCTAAAATAAGTAAATAATTTGATAAATTTTACACATTTTTTCCCCATTGCTGGCCCATTATTTTTTCAGAGAGAATACACCCACATAATTCCATGTCTTTCTTGAATAAAAAAACATAAACTYACTGTAGTGAAATTGCATTCTTCCCTGAACAATTACATTTAAAATAGTGGGAGAGAGGACAGGGAAGGTGAAAATTAGACTATTGGTTTCCTAAAAATAAAACATCAGAAGTTATGAATAACATAAGACCTGGTATAGTCAGCATTAAATAGAAATCATAATGTGAATATTTTGAAATGTAGCATACCCAGCATTCAGAAGGCTGTGAGCTGCTATTTTTCTTATGGTTCTATCTAGGACTTTAAGCATGAAAAATAAGAATAGCCACAATGGTCCTCCTGCTTTATCCAGGTAATGCTTCTATGTACTGGCTGAACATAGAGTTGTATATATTACACTCCAATTATTATCATAATTATACAGCCCCTTTCAATTCTAGGGCAGCAAGAAACCCAACACTACTTAACAGTCTCTACATCCACCACTTCTGCTTTGGGCAGTGGAACAAAATTTTCTTTTTTCTTGGTCATACATATGCAGGTTTACTATAGAATATTGACAAAACTACAGAAAAGTTGTTACTAAGAAATGGTAAGAAAAGACATAGCAACGTGAGAACACACAGGCACTACACAAATACAAATGACATTGATTCTATCTGTAACTAAACTGCAACACAATGGAAGTACAGCCAGACTACAGAGCTCAGACTGTAATGCAGTTTGGGTAATGCAAAAGGGGGTTTTCAGGCGTGTATTTTTAGCAGAGTGAGTAAAAGTGATCATGAGATCACTTTGTTTGAAGAAATGCAAAAATTAGGAAGGAATCAAACACATTAGAATATCCATTACATTCAGTTATCAGTTTTACAGACAAAATAATTCTGAGAACAGCCAAGTACTGCAATGCATTCTTATGTCTTATGTCTGTGTTCTCTACATGATAAAATGCTGAAAAAAAATTGAATTATTCAATTCAATAAGACCGAATATTAGTTTTAAAAAGCAAATAATTCACTGTAAACGCACTTGATAGAGATCTGCATTATCACAAAAGTCTTAAAATAAGGAAAAAAGAAAAAAATATTATTTATCTCTTTTCCCAACATCTGTAGGTGCGATTTTTATGTTTTACAGTCTATACAACCCAAGCAGACCTAGCTGCTTAACTATAAGACCTAAAATTGTATTTCCTCATCAGAAATCTTGCTTTTACATTTGGATTAATGTGCTTCAGAATGTGCCCCTCTTACCTGGTCAATCTGGTCCCATTCTCCTTGTTGTCTGAGAGATGGAATAGACCATATGGTCAGTTTTCCTGAGAAGTGAATAGCTGCCAGAAGAGCTCCATCAGGAGAAAGGTTCATCTTAAAAACTCCATCCTGCCAAGCATTATGTCAGCAAAGGAAGAAAGAAAAAAGTTCACAAAAAGAAAGTCTGTTCAACACTGTTTATACTCTTCCAAATGACCAATTACCCCAAATGACATTTCTATTCTGTTACTGCAATTGTTTCTCATCCTAAAATAGAGGGAAAAAATCTGGAAGTGCTCAATACCAGCAAAATTTTAGTAATGTTAATTTCTGTATCACACCAGCAGACAAGAAATAAAGCTTGAAAGTATTGCAGTTCAAGGAATATGCTGCAAACAAAAATGTAGAGCTAGCTGGAGAAAAACTGTTCTTTAATCAGCTGTTTAAGAAAACATCTAGAAAGCTCCATTTTCTACTCTCTTGTCTCCAYGCCCATCCAAGGAGGATGCTATTCACCCACAGCATAGAAAATGGCTCTTCCTCCMTGGAAACACACTTCTGGATGCGCCTTATTACAGTGCAAACAGAGAAAAGAGAGCACAGACGAAGAATTCCTGGGAGAAGCACATTAGAGGGCACTGAATTTAAGAACTTATTTGGTAACAGAATAGACTCAGCAGCAATACAGTAAATATCAAATTTAGGCCACAGAGAAGAAATAGCTCAACATCAATAAATAAGCTCTAGTCAAAGTCCTGCACTGCTTCTTATGGATCAGTTTTTCCATCGACTCTGGATATCTTGGAGGAAAATCATACTTTCTTCCTTCCTTCAGAGAGGTTATTTCAGGAACAGAAACACAATTACAAATGTATGTATATATTGTTGCCATGAGACAAGGGCCTCCAAATGTATACTTATATTTTATAGTCAAAGTTTGTGTCACTAACAATTATGCAAAACAGAACAATTTGGAAATACACAGAAGCTGCATAAGGATCTAAATCAGATTTTCAGAAAGATCTTCAGGCTCTTGACGAGTCTAATGTTCRCTGAAATGCATACGATTAATAGTAAGTGCAGGAGAGTCTAAAAGTCTGTTTTGTTAGTACTGTACCCTTTGAAAAGTTTCTAAACAAAGATTCATTCTACAGTAACATTAGACACAAATTTTAGGATTCTAATGTATCCAAGTCTTCGATTAATCAATTTTAAGGCAGTCCCCTCACTCTTGGAAAATGCTTCAGCACAACTACAGCAAAATCACCTGAACTACACATGATAATAAGTTTTAATACAGCTTACTAAGTTTCTTACTATGAAATATCAATTGAAGACGAAAAGACTTTTTTTTTTTTTTTTAATAATTTGCTTTAAGTTATACCTAGGCTATAGAAACAATGATGATCAAACAATCTGCTCAACTGTTCTCATGCTGCAGCGTTTTGCAACTGAGAGGGCTGCTCAAATTTGAGTTGCAAACTTMTTTTCTGTTGTTAAAAGGGAAATAAATGTAAACAATATTTTTAAAACAAGTTATGTAATTTACTCATGTAAATAATTCTTTATGTTCTTCGGCACCTAGAATACACTGTTACATTCTTCAATTTCTATTGTTTGCCAAAGAATTGTGCGCGACTACTCTCTCTGGCCCCTTCTTCCCTACATTCTCCCTTCATGAACTTAGACATGTTAATCATATCCCCTCTCAGCCTTCTCTTCTCTAAAATGTTCTCCACTGTTGCTCGTAACAGGCTGTACGAATGAGTAGTCTCTGTCTTCCCTATCCGTGTGGCAGCTGATGAGTTTAAAACCACTCTTTTTCATTCTCCACAAAATATAAAAACCTCAGGCTAGGCTATGCAGAGTGTTGTTTTATGGCTTTTTTTTTTGTATGTTTTCTAGCRGAGCTGGAGGACTACAGAGGGTTGGCTTTGGGAGCTTTAATTCACCAAGTGATAATATTGGGTATAAGTTTGAGAAATACTGCCATAATTCAACATCTTTGAAACACATGAAATACCTAATAGGCTATGGTCACCATCATTACCAATTTATTAATGCAGCAATAGGCAGCTTTTTACAGCTATCTTTTGGAATATTAATTTACATTTAAAGATTGAACTCAGTATCTGTAGACCTGTTCCTGTCAGCCTGTTAACATCAACTTTTCTGCTTCAGTAGATTGACTAACTAGATTTAGAAATAAGTCACTATATAGAAGAGTCTAGCAAAAAGAAAAAAAAAAGTGGGCTACCCCATCTAAAGCTAAAGAAAGTCTATTATTTTACAAGTTTTATAGAGTTACTAATTCTTAAGATGTATAAATTAASTCCTTTCAAATCAGACTCCCTTGCAAACATTAATGGACAATTATGTTACTGGAGAATTTTTCTCAGGATGACCTAGACATTATTACCTGTTCTGTTCCTCTCCTGTTGTAAAATTTTAAATTCATAATCCTTAATAATCCTTTTCTCTGTGCCTGTAAGAGTAGAAAAACATCATACAATTAAGGACAATCTTATACACTAATTTGTGCACTGAAAGTTAAGACAAATGCAAAGCACTAAAACAACTGAGAACTAATACATTACATTGAAACATTCTTTATGATGCAACTTGGCAGAATTTTAAAGAAACACAAATAAAGTAATAAAAGGCATCAGCTTGTTAACATTTTCCCACTATGATGAGTGSTTATTGTTCCACAGAAAAGCACTCCCTATTTGCAACAAAGTGAACAGGTGCATAAAAGTGAACACTTTTATACTTGATGATATCTATGTAATAGTAAACACTGGAATTTGTTACACTATACTACAAACCAATTTCAGTATAGCCACATGGTAGCTGCTGCCAAATCAAACATTTATTTCCACTAGAAGCTGAGAAAGTCAAGAGTCAAACTTAAAAAGCAGCACATATGAAATAAACATTTCAGTTTATGCAGGAACAAAAAGACAAAACTAACTGGACTTTCTCCAGCCAACTCAGGTGACACACATCCCAGTTCACAGCTGAGGAGTTTGTGTATTTTTACACCACTGATTTTTCTCTCTTAGAAAATACAAATGATTACCAAGAACTTAAAAGTTCAAATGACTGCAAAGGAGAAAAAAAAAAAAAAAAGAAGAAAAAAAAGATACTTAGGGAGAACAGGTAACTTCTAATAAGTTCACATCAAAAAATTTGAAAAAAAAAATCAATGTAACATTTTGCAAAGAGATCCGTGCTTTCTCCAATTAAACAATTCTGACAAAATTCTTCCAAGGAAACAAGGACCTATACTTACTGTTCTAATGTCATCTTCGTAATTAGTGACCAGTTTATAATGGGGAGAACCGGACAAAACCCTCCAAGCAGTTAACCCACAACCAGTTGCTTTAGAYACTCCATCTTCATCTGTTTCACAGCCTCCTACAAGCAGAAGTCTACAAGACAAAAGGCAGATTGTTTTATATACTACAGTATGAAAGATTTATTTTATTAATTCAAAGCCACAGCACCTTGCTGTTACTAACCAAAAAGTTCAATTATTTTAAGATACCTAACAAGTCACAATAACCTTTGACCTTCACTGCATTCATTCACAGTCTTAAGTGTTGAACAAGCAACATTTGTGGCATTTACCTTCATCAGTTTTATCTCTGACTTTCCAAATGAAACACAGTTCCCAATGATTTAAAATAAGATATGTACATAAATTTGAGATTCTTCTCAGCTCTCAAATAATCATTTAAGATCATTTAAGCTTATGAAAAGCTTGGGCCATTCTGTTGAAACATTAGAATTTTATTTATTAACAGGTGAATATAAAGCTAAAAACAAACAAACAAAATATTCTCTTTTTCTTTTTCAGAGCCACACTAACATTAGTGTTAGTGCATGCTATTAATGCAAATTCCCACATACAGGTACCAGAATATCTTTCCTTTAAATCCTTTGATATTATTCACAAGGAACTGGTATTTAATTGATGATTGCTTTGACAAAGACTTTGAGAACAGGGGTCTAGATTTGTTTGGAAATACCACTTAACTGAACAAGCCATCACAAAGTAACATATCTGCAGAAAAGGCACAAACAAAAAAAAGGCAGAAGTTCAGCCAGGAGAATAACCACTCTGTCCAGCAGCAAAATTCACAGTACTCTTAGAATACTCTACCACCTAGTGGCTGAAACTCATATAGCTCCTACCTGAGTTTGAATCTATTTCAAAACAACTATGTCCAATAGGAGACAACTGTAGAAAAATCAATAGGATTTTCCTTAATGAATCTGAAGTAGAATCCCCCTACCTATATAACGGAAACTAGCTTTACTACCAACAATCATGTTAGTTCACAGTAACATACCATTACACCATCTGACATAGCRGTGCAGAAGCATCTTTTAAATGACTGACTCCCAAACTATCTCCTAATCTAAACAAATCTCCTCATGCCATATCCTGCACAACAGTGGTATTCATTCAATTGGCCACAAAAAATATGAAATTAATATTTATAATGAACTAAGATGAGTACTTTTTGTGTGTTTGGGTTTTTTTTTTACATAAAATGCAACAGTAATATCTTTAGGTTTTTTTTTTACTTTAAGGAATCGGAATTTATTATAAGATACAGAAATAGTTTTTTGATAGCAATAAATATTCAGTTTAAAACATGTGATTTAACAGGAGACTGTCTCCCCATCATAACTAATAAGAAAATGCATAATTTTGCAGCTTTTAACTGTGAAATATTCATATTAAACACTAAATTCTWAGTTTTTCTGACTAATTCATGACTTGCTGTATATTTTTCTTGCAGTAGAATAAAAAGAAACCATACAAACATTTAAGGGAGAATCCAGTTTCTATCATGAACAGGTGGATGAATATTGTCTTAAATTCCAATAAAAACTGTGAACAGAATATGGAAGCAAACACACTTATTGAGTAATGAACATCATATGTTCTTTACAACAAGAGCACAGCAGAAAAAAGGTCATCCATATAAATGCATCAATAGCTTTCCAGTAGATATTTAGCAAAAGCAACTGGGTTGTGAAGATCAACTAGTGAGGATGACTGTAGTTAGTATAGCGTAATGTTGGTCAATTGTATTTTATTAGAAAATCAGTGACAAAACTTCAGAGCAGATGCCAAAGCAACAGAAAATTGTACTTCAGCACTGCATGAAACAGATTTCCATCTGTGGTCAACAAGTAAATAAGAGTAACAGAGCTCCCAAATGAACACTGCAACCCCAGTGCTGAAATGCAAAGGAATTGCTAGATTATATATTCCATTTCTGTATAACAAACAGAATACTAAACAGAATACTAAAAAGAAACAGAATAATAAATGGACTAAGTCTTTTATGTGAAAAATTTTAAAGTGGCCCTGAATTCATTCTATATTATTTGAATTCCTTCCAATCAATACCTATTCTTTCATTTTCATACAGGCTGTTTGTTCTGGCCAATTAGTTTGACAATTCCCAGGAAGGACAGGAACAAGGGGCATCTATGAGACACTACTTGAAATCAAAATGCTARTAGGAGTGTTTTGTTGCACAAGCCACACTAAGCAAGACTTTCATCTCCATTCCTAGAAAATGCCTCTACTTTTAGGACCCGTAAGGAGTAAATGTGTTGATAAAACTAAGTAAATAAACAATAAGTGAATGAATAAATAATCAGAAAAGGGCATCCATTTACACTAGAAAGTYCAATCAATCTTCCACCAAAGCAAAGTCAGAAGCAGCAAGTCTTCCTACCACCAAGCATTCAAATGTAAAGAATAGAACAAGTTTAATTCAACTGTAACATCAACAGATACTAGAAACTATCTGAACATTTTGTTTCTGTTTCAAGATGTGACTTAAAACGAGGAAGGCTTSGAGAGAAGAACATCAGCCCTTCAGGGACATGGGAAATGCCAGCAATACTCACTCACTGTACCTTGTGTAAGAGCCATAAACTAAGCAAGATATTTTAATAACACTTTTCCTGCAGACACTTGGGAAAAGAGGAATTTGCAGATTTAATGTCATACAGTTAACAGCCCGATTTGTTTGTGTACATGTTCTTGCATTTCCCATTTGCCTCCTTCCTGGGCCTTTGATCATTCTAGCACTGGAGCTTAATACACCAACACTGATCAAAGAGACAGAAGAACTGCCGCCAACTCTTATGAAACAGAGCCTTCAGACATGCTGCAGAATTGAAATTACCTTAAAATACAGGATTTTTTTTATTAAAAAAAAAAAAAACAAATTCAAGAAACCTGCAGCACATATCTCTACAAAAGAAAAACTTCTGACAGGAACTTAGCACATGAAAACCCTGTGGCAGCTTTGAGGAATATTATGCCTAAAACCTCTCCACCCTATTGTGCACGATTCAGTTTATTCTCCATTAGCTAAAATGAGCATAAACTCATCTGCTCACAGCTAATCAGAATTTGTAGCACACAGTTTAATATCACAGCTTAATAGCCTGAAAGATGCTGGCCAGATCAATGCTACACAGATCATTACATATAAAGTGATGGATTTTCTAACTCTCAACACAGTAAACAAGTTTTACACAAGTCTCCTTCACAGTCTGCCCAACTATTAGCAGATTAGTGGTTCTACAATAAAATGCTTTTTAAAAAGAGAGAAATCAGCACAACTGCCACAGCAACCCAYGACAGCATCGCTGCCAAGTCCTAGCAATGAGAAGGCAATAGGCATAACTCTCTGGAAGATTAATTTATTTGTAGCCTTGACCATCCACAGGAATCTCAAATCCTCTCTCTAGATCCAGCTTCCAACACAACCCATCATGGAATTAAAAATTTCAACCGCAGCGATAAATACTCAATTGCAGTTGACGGTATTGGGCCAGAGGTGACTAGGAGACAAACAGCAACGTAAAGAGCTAGAAAAGAATCGTCAATAGTAGTGACAGCAGCAGCTCTARAACTGCCTGAACTTGCACAGTTCTAAAACGGTGCACAAATTCCATCAGGATAAATCTTCCCACAGAAATTCTGGAAAAATTGTCACATACAGTGCAACATGTTCGTAATTTAGAAGTACATTTTAGGATAAATGATAATAATAATAGTTGGAAKTAAGATGTCCTATTAGTTCAGATGCACACAAAGCTCAACCTCAAAACAAAAAAATGCCTTCTCCCAGAGGGGTAAAAATTCTCCATGGCAGCAGGTACTTGAGTTTTAAATAGCTTTTCTCAGAGCAGAATGCAACAGTCAAGGCAGGAACAGCACAAGAACAAGAACAGCACAACTGGTATCAAAAGAAAATGAAAGCTACTCCTGAGAACCTCAGCAAAGATCTAGGCTTGTTTGTCAATTGTTTTTTCAGGACCAGGCAGAAGATGACTCCAGAATAACTGCAGTTGACAGGTAGCCTGGAAATAGCAGCAAAAGATTTTTCTCATTACTTTAAAAAAAAAAATTAAAAAAAAAAAGTAAATAAAAACTTAGTCTCCTTCCCGGAAAGGATAAACCATGTCATATAGAGAGGAGAGACATGGGAGAAGGACAAGACAACAGATCAACACTCCTCTCGGTGGTAGCCTCTGACAAGATACAAGGCAATGGGCATCATTTAAACTTGGTTGGTTGTTTTTTTATTTGCAGCAGATGGTTGAACTCTGGTAGACATTGGCCAGACATCTTTAAAATGTTCATCTTCATCTTTAAGAGGTTCAAAATTTGACAAGATGGGAGTCCCGAGCAGYCAGCTTTGAGCTCTGTGTGAACGTGTTTAAGGGAGAGCAGCGGAAAGGAAAGAAAAACCTTGAAAGGTCCTTCCAGCCTTCAGGATTGTATGATTCTGTAACTTAGGCCAGTTCATCAAAAAGCTCAACTTTTGGGGGCATACTCCCCCATTCTCAGAAATTTCCACAAACTTGTGCTGAAGAGGGTGAGTATATGCAGATCTCAAGGGGAATCAGTCCAGTGCAGATTTTCCAAGCAATCTTGAGACTATTTTGCCTCAATTACAACAAATTCAAAGCAAAACCCAAGCCCTTACCACAGCTATTATAGTTTAGGCTCTAATACTGGACATCTGTAAAAAATTGCAGGCAAACCTGAAGAAATCCAGCTCCAGTCCAAGATAACAAAAAAATAGAAGCTATCAAACTTTGCACTACAGTCTTCAGAGAGATAGACAGTCATCAACTCCCCTGAAGCAGCAACTTGTACTTGTCAACTAAAATGTATCCTAAATTCCATTAAATGTGAAGGATGCATCACATCATAACACTAATATACAGACATCTTTTCAGCAGCAGAGGAACCCAAGATTATATTTTTCCCAGAATTATTTTAAAAGTAGAGGTTCTGGAGTGTGATTTTACTGCAAGTCAATAAAAATAGGCAATTACATAGCTACACAGAGAGCAGTAAGTCAGTGCTTACAAGAAATATTACAAGAAGTATTACTTCACTATCTAAAATACAGGAAAGCACAAAGTGACCAAGTTGCATATAAGATAAGTGATAAAGGTTTCATTTTCAATAGTGTGATCTGTTCACATATATCTACAATTTTATTTATTGCCCGATTTAAGAAAATTGCCTGCCTTCAGGGCCTTCTTTTTTTTGAGACAGAGAAACTTCAACTTCTGTATTTGACATTACTCTAAATTGATGAGCAGATTCTCTCGTTGAAGTTTTCTACCACAGAGTAAATTTGAAATCGATAACAGAAAAGATTTGCCTATGTGAAGGGCACTGCATCATTTCTTTCCATTTTCCAYTGTAATCTTCCTGGTATCATTTTTTCAGCTCTACTAAGCAATTCATATAATAGAAAATGCTGTCATCATCCCATGCAGTCCCATTTAAATATCTTTATTCGCAGGGAATCAGCCACGATATTTCTTTTTAATCAGAAAAGAGTTCCTCAACATGTTCCAAAACTTTTCATCAGCAGATACAATCACATTTTTTCATGCAGGAAAACAGTACTTCTCTCCATATAAAATGATAAATATAGACAAAATAAAAAGTCTGTCAAACAAAAACTTCCATAAAATTACTAATATTTTGATYAAAGTATTCTAAACACAAAAACAGTATGGTCTCCTGCTCTTCCACTTTACACTAGATTCACATTAAAACACACAAAACTAAACTTATATAAGATTAGCAAGAGAATCAAAATTACTTTCAAGAGAGAAGAGAAGAATGAGAAAAGACAAAAACTGTTTTATTTTTTCACCATTTTATGAACAGCTATGTCAAGGTTCTGTCATTTRTATACACAAGACATCCCAGCTACTGAACTGACATTCCTATCACCTGATTTTCTATTTGTTTTTGTTTTTTTTTCTCCCCCCCATTCAGAACTGTCAAACTCTTACAGCAAACGATGTCATTCACTTAGAAACTTCTCCAAAAGAGCAAGCACATCCATGTGTTATCAGAATAATCTAATAATCTGGCCATACTTGGAATATTAACCAGTGTTATTTGCAACTGTCTGAATAAACCCACTTATTTCTTAACATTTGTAGCAGAAGAAAGCTTTGGAAACAAGTGTCAAGAAACATTAACCCTGCTCTGATCAAAGGAAAGACTGAATAGGCTCTGTTGCCTGTTCAGAAAGCTCTGCCAGAACTTCATAACCCTAACCTATTGCCTCAAAATCCCACAATTAAATAGTGAATATCAATTATGTTAAATTGCTAAATGTGAAAGAGAAAGAATTCATATTCACAATTGATCTCTCAAATAACAAACTCTCTGCTTGCTAGAAATACTTAGCAAACCAGTAACTATTTCAACTAAATCCAGTCCAAGAGCAGGTAGTCTATTAGACATCACCTTTCATGCCTGAGATCTGTGCTGCACATACACACACACACTCRCAGACATCAAAATATCCATGATCTTTCCCTCCATGAGACTAACAAATGTCTTAAAATCAGTTCTGATATTCTGAAAACCCTGTTTTTGCACAGTATTCACACAGAAAAGGATACATCCTGACTACTTCTTTTAAGAGTTGAGTATTTGATAATAATTACCAATAGTTTGAGGCCCCAAAAAACTTTTATTAAGAAAATCTCTTAAAGTCCATGGAAAAAAACTTGTTTTTTTTTACTGTCTTTACAAATGTAATATACAAGGTTTAATTGCAGTACAAAGGCTCTTGTACATAGTTCTTTTAGAGTTCATAAACATACTAGATGCCATTTCTGACATCTGTGACTGTTCCAAATTTCTCACTCAAATAGATGGACTTTATTCACTACCTTTTTACCTTAGGCAATTAGTAGAGTGATAACACCAGATAGGACCTCGTTTTTTAAAAMATATGACTTGTTATTGTTGAGTCACTAAATATCAGTAACAGATGTTGACTTTCCCCTCTTAATACATGCAACACTTCAATCTCTATTTTGTCACTATTACTCATTATTTCCATGGTGTTAGCAGGTTACGAACAGAACACTTACCTATGACCAGGATGATAAACAACAGTGGTTACTCCATGGACATAACGACTGCTAAAGCTGAAACTATGACTTTCTTGGAAGCTTTGATTTGTTCCAACACTAGAYATAGGAAAAAATAAAAGTTATTTCAGATTTATATTTTTAAATAATGTAGAATTATTTTAAAATTTGTGGTACCTTCTCAGAATAAATCAAAATTTATGCTTACCTTACAAGATAACTTCTCAGCTCTCCACGATAATTAATGACAAGCAGTTCAGCTGACCATTGTGCACTTGCTTTATATTCTAAGAAGATTAATCCAGCAATAGCATAACTAAGATCTCCTGGAAAACCTGTTGTCTTAATGCAGAAGACAGAAAATGAGAGTAGGCTGTGGGAGGGCAGAAGACTGGTTTTGTTACTTAAAGAACTATAAGTCAAATTTCCTATATTCTATGAGAAGTATATTAAAAAAAGCTAACAAAATTTATTTATAGATGTCACTATAATAAAAAGAAACACACTGTCTGATCTTGATTTTAAAGAAGTCTTATTAGTATGAGGTATGTTAAGAATAAAGTAAGGAAATATTCTTTGCAAAACCACCAATGCAATCTTTGAATATGCAAAATACAAAGTATATTCTGTTGTGCAAGCCAAAAGCAACTATATTTTCCTCATACAAGAGAATTTTCCTCAAATTGCTCAAGCAGCAGTATTCACTGATTTACGACGGAATCCACATATAAACTGCATAATGATGGGTCGATATTTTCRGAAGGAACACTCAGAAAGTTGAGGCGTCCCTGCGATCATCTGCACACATTCTAAGTACATGGCATTATAATGGCAGGATTTGATGTATCCACAGATCTGCCACAACTTTGAGGGAAAAGACAGAGGAAGATTCTGACTAGACCGCACTGAGATGATACACTCCGTGCATGTCACGCAGAAACTAAGTTTAATCAACTATAATACACCCCTAATATACCTGTAATTATATCACGTGATAAAACACTTCGTAATATATTTCTGCTTACTATTCATACCATAAGGATGTATCCCAAAGTATAATTAATAGGAGTAATTACCATTTCTGATTASTAGGGCTCTTAATATACTTAAATTTCATCAGAGAGAGGACTTACTGGTGAAATGACCAAAAGCTCACTACCCATTAGGTCAAACACTCTCACTGTTCCAGTGCTYTCAGCATAAGCAAGTAATGTACAGTCGTGACTCCACGCCACACGCCTCCACTGTGGGTTAGGATCTTTCGGTACTGGGAAAAAAAGAAAAAAAAAAAAGGGTTCTTAAAAAGAGAAATAGCTTCCTGTTAACAATGTAGCAGGTGCTTAGCTGGTCTTCACATATCAATGACCATTGTCTGCATCATGATAAAATGAATGGCATTGGACCATCTCCGACCATCAACCTACCCTCCAGCTATTAAATGTCTTTACACTGCTGGTGTATTCCCTTGAACACACTTTTTATAAACCTGTATGCCATTCCCCTATCCTGATCCTTTCAAATAAAGCAARGAAGAAGAGAACATAGACAAAGCATTTTCGGAACTATACATTTGATTTCTAGTAAAAATTTTAACAAAACTATTATAATTCTTTATTATTCTGCCTCCTAGAATAATTATTTCTKCCTCCTGGAAATAAGTGTTCAATATGGCAACCAGCCAAGTGTTCGTAATGTATCAGGATCCAAAGAAGAAATCAGAAGGTTATCTTAAAGCATACAGAAATAAAAATGCTTAGCAAAACATGAATAGTAAACAATGAGGAAACTAAGTTATAGAGGTTACATACTGCATACCTTGACATTTGCCAATAATGGATCCAAAGTCATCTTTCGCAGATCTGCAGAACAAAATTCAGCTACGTATTTAGACAAAAATCACTGCTTAATTCTGAAGAATAGTACTATTAAAATACTCTGAGTGCATATGCAAATCTTGGAATTGTATTTAGCTACCTATTCAAAAAAGCAAATAGTAGCCTTCACCTTTAGGAGGCTAGAATAACCAGMAGTACAATAAAAATCCTCCTTCCAACATACAAATTACACCATCCCACATTTAGTAGTAATGCTGCTCAAAACACAATAGCTGCTGCAGTACAGTATTTCAGCAGGTAACTCTTGAAAAAAGGCAGATTCCTCTACTTCACTATTTTAGCAACAAATCAGAAATAAAGTTATTTTAACACAGTTGGAAAATAAAATTTATTTCATAGTCTATAAGCTGACATTTATAGTGTTCACACCACTTCTGGTTGAACAATTTTCATATACTTGCTTATTTTACATATAAATAGAAGATCTGACCTTCCAGCAAATGGATTTTTGTGAAGCAAGTAAACACTCTCAATCAAGATCTGCTGTAAAGCTAAATATGTTCTTGAACTAGCAAAGGAGGACTTGTTATTAGACAGTGGAGGAGAAAAGGAAAGCATGAGTCTTTATGACAATCCATATTATTTGTAAAATCAACTGAATTGTTACATGTGCCAGCTTTTCTACCACAGTAGAGTAACAGCTTCTCCCCGACTCCATTTGTACTCCCCCATAGTGATTGCGAAGGGGAATGAAAGAGCAAAGGTTAGAAATACCATGAATTTAGTTTAGTGCTTTAAAGCCATTTGAGTTTTTCCTCTTCCATATCTTAGAAAATGTTTTTTTTTTTTTTTTCTTGGAAGGTGGGGAGGGAAAAGGAAGAGGAACGGTGAAGGGCAGTGGAAAGAAAATTACGAAGAAATCAAAGGCATCTGAGTTATAATAAATGACTATTCCTTACATCATTTGCAGAATGCACTAACACTCTGCATGAATAGAAATACCTTTAAAGTATGATTAGTAAAACACCCAAAATACTTTTTCAAAATTCTAAAACTGTGATTGTTTAGTGATTAATATTATTATGTTACCTGATTTCCACACATTGGTCTTGAACAAGTGCCAATAATTTCCCATTGCTGAAAAAGGGAAATCAAAGATGTGATAGTTTAACCAAAGACAGTTTTGCAGATTCTAGGCATTTTTTGGTATGGATAAATTCATGTTCTCTCTCACAACTCAAAGTAAGTTAARAAATACCGACTTTTATGCAGAAATGTACTATTAATAAAACTCCATTTCACAAACATATGTTTTACCATGAAAAACTATGAAAATCAAAATAATGTCTAAAATCTTGTTAAATAAAAGGTCAGAGCCAGATATTGCATGTGGATAATTTTAGGTAGCAGTATTTGAACTTATGTATTGTCTTATGTGCAATAAACAACTATCAAACTTTGAGAAGTCAGGTGATCTCCTTAGGTCTGCTCTGCTTTCTATCTTATATACAACATTGCACAACAGGCCAGTCTCATCAGTGCAGATCATCACCTTCTTCATGGACCCATCATCTCTTTCAAAAATACAGAAACCTTGATTACATCTAGTTAAACACAGTAAGTAAACATATTTCAAACTACTTTCATACCATTGCTCCATTTCTCTGCATGTTTATGCWTATTTAAAAATAATTTTAAAAGTGGTGATTCAACTGATGCTGCTAGAATTACCACAAAATAGTTGCTCCTAGTCTACGAATTCTCATTTCTCCACTCAACACACAAAGAGACCTTCAAGATCTGTCACTTAGGAGCTCACTTTCCACAGGTTTTAAATATTCAGTTTTTATTGCACACCTTGCAAGCTTTGAGTTCAAATTCAACACACAGACACAAATACAATGCCAGTAGAAGGGTTATCATATTGCTAATCACTGTCCCTCAAAAACTGGAAGGACACTCAGATATAAGTGAAAAGATGCATTAAGACATGGGAAACACTGTGAAATGGATAGCCTGGGGAAAGGTCAATCTGCTGCTCTGAAAGCCTCCAGTGTTTCCTTTGACTAAGGAGGATAGCAATGCCCTTTGCTTAGCATGCAGCTCTGCATTGTTGCCAGTGAGGACAGTAGAATTAAAAAAAAGAATACTGTACTGGTGGTGACTGGTATAAGAGATGGAAATGAATGATTCTGGTTCATTTCTACCTCAGTGAACACAGTACTGAATCTCTCCTCTTTAGATTTTTCCCAAGGTATTACTATATACTTGAATACAGCAGCAACATCCCACAATCTCCTTCCAACACAAATAAGCTCTGGCAGATCACACACTATGTAAGAATGCATATTATCTTGTACAGAAAACAAACAAACCACTATTTCCAACAACAAAACACCCACACACATTAATATATTCATTATATAGCAATATTTTCTGCCAAAAATAGTGAAGCACAAGAGTATACGAGTATATGGTTACCTTGCAAGCACTAGATGCCAGTTGATCTGCTTATTAACCAGACGAACCAGCCCAGGTGGCAGAGTAAACTTTGCAGGGCTGAAATWAAAATGTTACAATAAGGAGGATTAAGGAGAATGTTACAAAAGGAGAATTAATCTAACTCTAATTAACCTAACAAAAAAGCAGTGAGCGAGATATACTTCCCACATTTAGGTTTTAGCAAAGTAAACATGAGTTTGCAGTACACCTTGGCAACAACAAAGCCTAAYTGCATTCTGGACTGCAATAATGGAATCATAGTTATATATTAAGGGAGATGATTATTCTTTACACTTTGATATACATCTACTTTCGGACACCCATACTACAAGACAGACACTGACAAACTGGGGGACCACAAGATTTTTTAGGGGACTGCAGCATTTACCCACAGAAAGAGATGAGGGAGCTTCAGAAGGAACTGAGAGCAGCCTTGAATACCTAAGATAAAGTACCAAGAAGATGGAAGCCACTGAGGTGCATGAGAAGGGAACCCTGCTCAGACTAAAACAGAGAAGTTTCCAAGCTGGCAAGGAAAAATAATTCTTCACCAGGAAAACAGTCAAGCAGTAACAGGCTGTCCAAAGGGGCTATGGAATCTCCCCCCAGGAAATTTTTCAACACCTAGATGGAAAGATCACTGAGCAGTCTGGCCTTAATTTCAGAGAAGATTGAATTTGACACCTCCTGGACTCCCTTCCAAACTGGTCTCCTATCTTCTCCACCAGGTCTCCAGTGCAACTACAWGGGATTCTTGTTTTTAAGTAAAATGACATGAACTCATTCCAACTGCAAGTGATTCCTTTGGACAGGTTTGGATGCCTGCATGAAATCCATTAATCAAAATGAAAAACTCAAAATAAAAATAGTAAATAAAATGGAATACCAGCTGGACAGGGAGAGAAGAGGAAGGTAACACTGCCTAGCAGAGAAAAAATATTACTAACTTAGCTGTAGGATTGTTTCTCAAGAAATAAGAAATAATAGACTTCTAAAAAGGAAAACAGGTATTTTCAGCCATGAAGAAAAGAAAAAGTTCAAATTATGACTTTGGAAGCAAATATTGTAATAGTGTCAGACCTGAAGACCTGACAGTTATGCCATTTGTCAGGCATACAGACGAACAGTTTCATTCGTTATGTCTCCGTTGGAGTGGGGAGATAAATATGTATCTTGGGAATGACGATGCTCTAAATGAATGTTTATTTTGACTACGGACAACAGCTAAGGCTGAAACCAGTATAAACCATCTTGATTCTTTTCAAGAGAGGCTCCAACTGCAAGCCTCCGCATGTGTAAAGACATCTGTGATCACAACTCAAATTCAAAGAGAGACACCCCTATTCTACATATTGTTCACATGATATTATAGGTACTGTTCAGTTTTAGTGTCATTAAAAATAACTCTGATAAAACAGAAAGCTATAAAAATATTATCAAATAATAACATTAAGCATTGTTTTCCTCAAACCTACCTGTACCAAATATAACGAAGTAAAAATAATGCAGGACCTACAAAAGACAAGAAAAAAAAAGAAAAGAAAAAAAAGAATTACATTTTTGGTAATTTAAATATTGTTTCCAGCATACTGCACACAGATTTCCAACAGTTCTCTGGAAAGAAACAAACACTTTAAAGGAGAAGTTAAAAACAAAACTAAAACCACAACAAAAAACACACACATTTTTCTTTGGCCAATGAATCTTTAATTTTACTAAAATAGAGGGAAGCGACAAATCAAAAGTTGCTATACATCTGAGGAAATTCTACAATATATGCCTAACAAATGAAAATCCAACTCAGTTACTGCACAAATCAAGTGCAGAACATGTGCAGAATGTTAACATAAACAGATCACGATGTAAAGCTTCCTTACGGAAGAGAGTTTCTTATTTGGGCTCTTTCAGACAAGGGCTGGTAAAGAAAAATCAAGGACATAATTAAACAAAAACCTCAACAACACTTAGCAAAATACAACTGGGCTCCAAAACTTCTTAGATCTATATTAGTCTTCTCTGTTGTTTAGTGGAGAGGGGGCAGAAAAAGCGCACAAAAATTARAATAACTTAAAGGTCTTGATAATCAGAAATCATCTTTCTGAAAACTCATCCCGTGCTTTATCTCCAATACACTGGCCAGTTCACAGAGCAGAGAGTGGTTTTTACTTTAAGCAAGTAATCATCGTTTTTAAGCATCATTCCTGTAAAATCATTAACACAGAAACTAGCCATATTACCTGTAATTGCTCTCGTGATGATAAATGATGCGCCGTGTTTTTTACTGCCTCTTGGCTGCAATTACAAGAGTAGTGGTCAAACACTGCATTATACATTTTAGCTTAAATACAGAATTCATGCATCTATTCAGTGAATTAATTTAACCTGAGTACTAGTCTACATATTTTTTGTTTCCTTGCAATTACTTTCAACTTTGCATCAAAAGCATAAGGCAAAACAGGCTCCATAACCAAACATTTTCAATGAATGCCAAGTTGTAATGAACATAGTATTACTATGAGTTCTGTTGGTTCATTTATCACTTAGTCTTTGGTAATAATAAAAGCCATTGACTTGTGACTATGTCCTTCTGTAAAGTATTCTTTCTATGGAATATAGACTAGGAATTATTCTTTCTAGGAATACAGATTGCATACATCCACAGCAGAAAACAGTCAGTTCAATCTGCTTGTATTTCCTTATTTCTAAAGGATTCTACGAGTCTTCCCCTGGAACCTTAGCCAGAGAACACTGGTCTCATTCACTCTCTGCAACTACTATTTCTTTCCATTCTCAACATATACTTTGGGACTCCTGAAGCCTTGTTATATACAACCACATCCCTGCAGTGASTACAGAATGCTTGATTTTCACACCAGCCTTTTCTTCAGCACTGTCACCTCTCTGTATGTGCTCTTTACAAAATCCTGCTCATTTCCCCAAACAAAGTATTTCCCTGGAAACATAATACATGTAAATGAGAATACTAGCAAGAACTAAGATTAAAGTCAATATGGGGTCCAACTTAAGAAACACCATTTTTAACAATTTTGAATTTAACAGAACGTTAAACACACAGCATAGGGGGAGCTTCCAGTGGTTGTAATTACAGTTGGAAGTGCTCAGCAGTTCTGCAATCAAAACTGAATCATCCCAAATGAGATCCAGAAAAATAAAGCAATGGCAATAGACACCTGTGGGGAATATAGCTTAGGCCTTGTTTTATATTCTGCAAAACTGTGTAGGTGGAGATTTAATTTGATTTCCTAGTGTAGCAATCAATTTAACTTCTCCCTTTCTGCAATTCCCCACCTCAGTTATTCCAAACCATTCAGTTCTATAAGAAATGAGATTTGATTTGGGTTTCTTTGTGACCAATTTTTTCCTGTACAGTGCACACTGTAAATAAACCATAGAGACTGATGTTCCAAGAGGAAAGGCACAAGCACTTAAATAATATTATTGTTAASACACCTTATGGCAAACACTCGATCACAATGACAAAATTGTTCTTTACCTGCGTATATCAGTGTAAAATCAATTTTCCACTAAAACCTTAGAGCATGCTGGAAGAATCCTTTGTTCTCTGACAGTCCTCAAAAAAAAAATTAACTCCAACAAATTATAAAATGTAACACTTCCAGATCCTTCTAATTCCAACATTAAAATTGTAATTATCTTGAAGCCATAGCAAGCAAGAAGTGATGAGTTTAAAATGGCCTGTAACATTTGATCAAGTTGGCAAGCAGAATTCCATGTTGCTTAGAAATTCCAGTAGCCGGGGTAGGACCAGATCCTCAGGCTGTGATTCCAGGATCCATTTGAACTGGCTGCCAAAGACAGGTTTCATTTCCCTCTGCCTCTCCTGACACAATCCTGACCCCCACATGGGTGCTTGTATGATCACCCCAAGAGAAGCAGCCCGAACAAGAAACTCAGAGCAGTCAGTTCCCTTCAGCCACACGACTCCAAGAACCCCAGGGAGTTGCCACCAAACCTTCCTTATCGCACAGTTGTAGACCCAGAGCCTCACGTGCCATGAACTCCCAAGCCCTCCTGACATCTCCAGCTACACAAATCCTTCCTCTATTACTAAACGTAGAGGGGGGAGAGAGAGAAAAAAAAAAAAAAAAAAAAAAAAGTATGCACCATTTCTCAAAACAAAGTTAAATAAAAATAGATGCAGCTATCTACTCACATACATGACCAACCCAATATGTCATGGCTTGATAAAACTGCAGCTATTTTTCTTAAATGCTCATTACTACAGCAGTAACTGACGATTTTAAACCCAAGATAAAAAATATCATGATGTCTTTCTGTCAAACAAAAAGCTATTTTCATTGGTGGCTTGTAGTAATGTGACCAGGTACCTTCTTTTGCCTCTGAAGCTTTGCAATATCAGAGGTCCCCCTTACAAATACAACCTGCTAGAAGTACTTCCACGTTTTCTAACTAAAATCATTTTAATAAATGCAGTGAGCTTGAAAGACAATTCAACAACAAGGAAGATTATTTTCCTTACATTTTCTATGGCTAAAGTCRTCAGTAATAGAAACAGAGGCTATGAACTCAACACACTGCAGGGCAAAGAAGACAGTACAGCCCCAAGCACCTGAGCTTTAGCCCTGCCTCACGGAAAGGCAGGACAGCAGCAGGACCTTCCAACAGGGGAGGAACACGTTCCTGCCTCTAAAGCGTTGYCACCTACTTGTGTGCCATACACATATGTACATATACACTCACATACATACACACACACCCTCTTAAGCCTACTCAGCCCTCACAAAACAGAGCTACGACCAAGTGACATTCCGATGAGACAGTCTGGAGGACGAACTCTTCCCCACCTTCCCCTGCACCTTCCTCCCCCTCTCTCTCTTTCCCTCTCTCCCCGCGTCCCGCCCGGTCCCGTCCCGTCCCACCCGCCGACGTGGCGGTTCCCCGCACTGCGGAGCGGCCGGGGCGACGCTCACCTGCACCTCGGTCTCGGGCGGCCACTCGGTGTTGACGAGCAGGTCGTACAGGATGTTCTCCTCCTCGCCGCCCCCCTCCTCCTCCTCGCTCACGGCCGCCGCCTCCGCACCCGCTTCGCGGCGCTGCGCGGCGGCCGCCATGTTCGCGCASGCCCAACCCCCCACAGCGCCGACGGCGCCCGGCATGGGCCAAAGCGCGGAGGCGGCGGCGCTGCGCGCGCGCATGCGCGGGACAGCCCTGAGGCTCGGGGGAAGGCTGGGACGGGGGCGGGGAGAGCCCAAAACCGGCAGAAAATCCCCCCGGGGCTGCCCGC